GCTGCAGAGCAGCAGCTCCTTCCCCTCGCAGCAGACGGTGCAGTAGGACTGGTATCCATCTTCGTCGTACATGTAGAAGAGCTCCAGGAACCGATCCTAGCAGGGGGACAGGCGGGAGGAGAGGATGGAGGGTCAGGATGTGCGAACAGAGAACGCGGCCTCGCTCCATCCCTGGTGCGCACCCAGAGCCTGCAGATGCGCGTCCTCGGTGCTTCATGGGCTCCATGCAAAGCACATGGAAGTGGAGAGGACGCAGCAAGGGACAGCCCCGTGGTGGACACGGCATGGCCAGGACCTGGCACGGTACCAACAGCACCGGCTGCAGCGCGGCTGGACCCTGCACCCCCTTCCCGGGGTCCCACTCACCCTGCAGGTCTGGCAGAGCCCCCCCTCGAACAGTGGGTGGAAGGTGGCTGGGTTCCTCCTCCCGCAGGACAGGCAGCTGTCTGGGGACACAGAGACCCGCTCAGCCCCGGCTCCCCAGCACCACGGGCACCGGCTCTGCCTGCAGCCCGGGCGGTGGCTGCGGGGTGCGCAGGGACGGGTGATGGATTGATTACCTTCCAGACTGCCGCTGTTGTTCGTGACTTGGGAAACCATTTGTTCTTTATGAAAATAAAAGGAAAACATTTTTCATTCCTTCTGTAACAAACTTTAAATGCACTCTACATAGACGTGCCCTATTTCTTGCATTAAAACCGCTGCAGCTTTGCCAAGCATTGCACAGAGAAGGCAGGTCATTGGTGTACTGGACGTTTGGGTGCAAAACCCACGTCCTTTCCCTGCTGGAGACACCAGGGCCAGAGCTCAAAGTAGCAACACAGGGATCATTTCCGAGCTGAGCAATTAAAGGAGCCCATGGGCCTCCAGCTCCCATCTCCTGGCTGGGTTTACTGGCAAGGCTGGGTTTGCTGCTGCCTCATAAGGCACAAGCATCACAGAACCACAAAGGCTTTTGTCTTCAGAAACCAAGCTCACAGCCCCGGGAAGAGCCCAGCCCTTTCCCACAGAGGTTTCCCGGTGCTTTACAGGCCTCCCCAGCTCCCGCTCTCCGTCACCTCGGGTCTGGTCCTCCTCCATGCGCTGCTCCTTGCCACCGTTGCAGGGGTTGCTCTTCAGCCGCTTGGTAGGGGGGACCTGCTCGAGGGGCAGCACCTCCTCCGTGCCGTTCCGCAGGGCCCCGCTCTCTGCAAGGGGAAGGCGGCTCCCTGGGGACTGGCCTCGGTACCGGGAACTCCTCATGGCACCAGGGACGTCTCCCACCAATTTCCCAGCCAAAACCAGAGCCCCCCTCACTCCTCAGCTCCCCATGCACGGCTCAGCCACGCCACCGACTTCCAGGAGCCATGGCTTTGAGGTGGCTTCACTCTGGTTTAGTGCAATGCCGATGGGGGGGGACCCAAGGCCCCCTCAGCACCAGGCCATGGCAGAGGATGAGCAGGCCAGGCCCTGGTGGCTGCCAACCTCATATGTCCCCCTCACCTGAGTCTTTGGGCGGCCGCAGCCCCTTGACACCCAGGGGTTTGAAGCCGGTGAGCGCCCAATCGACCATGGGCCTTACCTGCTCCTACAGCGA